CACGACAACAACCAAAAAAAAAAAAAAAAAAACACCGAATTTTTCAAGCTTTTTAATGTCGCAGATAAACAATATAAAATCAAATAATATTTACAGAACTACATACGCTGAAAGTAGACAGTACAATAATTAAACTGTAAACAAAGGAATAAATGATTTGATATTATGTATTTCTGGAATGTTTGTCTAATTTCTTATTACGAGTGCCGACCATGACTGTAGACTCTATTTGGAAAGTTTGATAGCGATCGGGTCACAAAAAGGTGTGTAATGTGACTCAGAGAGGGACTTGCTGATTAGAAGAAGACCAGTAAGCCTCTATTAAATGGCATTGTGATGTTTGTACTGTATTGAAAACACAGGGCCCTGTATATGTATATGCATCTTTGTTTGCCTTTGTGCAAGGCAATAAGTACAACGTAGTTACTCAATTCGATTCGTACTACTGCGATCATTTGCGCGTGAAGTACAACATCTAATTGCGTGTTCTAGGTTGTATAAATACCGTTTCCTCAAAATGCGGATTGTCGCCGCACATTTCACTGACAGTTTTTATTGTTATTTTATGTATTGTTTTATGTTTGTACTATGATATTTCCCTTTAGGACATGAAGGACATTTGTATTACCAAAATAATTGAAGGGTTGTGTGAATACAAAATATACTATACACTGTAAAGCTTCCACATAGTATATTACATGAGTATATTAATGCTATTTATATGCTATTCTATCTTCTGCATAGTATCTTACATGCTATTTATATGCTATTCTATTTTCTGCATAGTATCTTACATGCTTTTCATATGCTGTTCTATTTTCTGCATAGTATCTTACATGCTTTTCATATGCTGTTCTATTTTCTGCATAGTATCTTACATGCTTTTCATATGCTGTTCTATTTTCTGCATAGTATCTTACATGCTTTTCATATGCTGTTCTATTTTCTGCATAGTATCTTACATGCTTTTCATATGCTGTTCTATTTTCTGCATAGTATCTTACATGCTTTTCATATGCTGTTCTATTTTCTGCATAGTATCTTACATGCTTTTCATATGCTGTTCTATTTTCTGCATAGTATCTTACATGCTTTTTATATGCTATTCTATTTTCTGCATAGTATGTTACAAGCTATTTATATGCTGTATAGAACGCAAAAAATTATTTTTGCTGCAAAATATTATTTACCGTGAGATTCAAAAGACCTTGTGCGTTATTGTTACTAACTATATTTTTCTACTCATGTTACATTTTGACCTCTCAGTATTACTTTTACATGTAGACGAAATCATTACGTTCGTGTCCTTTCCTTGAAACTGACCGACATTATTATTGTACATTAACACGCAAAAAAAAAACAATACCGAAAAACATGTACAGTTTATTCTCCGTGGTTGCACGATCCATGAGAGCAAAAATTACTGACGCACTTGTCCTGGTTACATAGTTGTCATACATGTTTTGTATTAATCAAGGCTTCTTTGGAATTCGGTGAAGCAAACGCCACGAATAACAAAGAAGCAATGCTTTTGATTTTCTTAGATATTAGTCTTATTTTTTGCCACTCAGTATACATTGCGCTCTGGTCTTGAGATTGGAGATTGGAAGAGAGAGAGGGTTACATGGTTACATTATGTTATTTGATGCACTGGTTGATTTATTCATGTTTTCTTATATGAATTCATTCATTAATTCGTCTATTCACTCAGTCATTCACACGGTTACAAACAATATGATGTTGTTTATTTCCTAGCTTTATGTAGTGTTAGATGTTTTGTTTGTTTTGTGTGATAATGTGCTACCGTATTCACACAATATTTTAAGAATTGTAAAATTTCTCAGATATTTCAAATTCGTGCACACAATTTCAAAAAGTCGAAACAAGCTATGTCTCAGACGTTAAGTTTCTGACACATCTATAAACACAAACTGGTCTGAGCTGTTGAAGGTGCTCTCATATATGTGAAGTGTTGAGATTTCTGTCACATCTATGAGGTGGTAAGATTTCTGACGTACCTATGATATACTGAGGGCTTTGGCAAGTCAATGCAGTGCCGTTTTAAGGCATAGGGACACAATGCACGTGCCTTGGGCCCTGCTCAGCAGTGAGGTCCGCGGAGGCCCTGAAACAAAATTTCGGTGTTGGTTGTGGTTAGCAGTTTAATGTTTTTGCTTAGCGCCCCCAAATTTCTTAAAACGGCTCAGAGTCAATGGGTTGTTTAGAACGCTGACAAATCTATGACTTTTTGTCTATATTTCACACATATTTATCGTGCAGCTATCTAACAATTTAAATTATTAATTCCATTGCAGTATGATGAAATTTTTTCCTGCTGTTTTGTTGGTAGTGGGTCACAAAACAAATTTACATGTACAAAAAAATTTGCTATTGATATTTCTCTTTCACTCATGTTTTCCTGCTTGAAGATGTTCTATAATTTTTTTCCCGAGAAAAGGGCCTTGTACTATAAGCGATAATCATTTTCTACATATGTAAAATGTTTACAACGGAGCATGCAAACATTCCTTCCTTTGGATACTTGAAAAAAAAAAACACAGCTTTGCAAACTTGTATTATACCATCTTTTGCTGTTATAAAATCTCTTTAAATTCTTCAGTGTTCAACGTACCCTTGTTACTTAATAATCGGTACCAGAAAACAAACTAAGAAATGTTATTCACTCAGCTATAATGGAACATTAAACTATTCTCGTGTAATTGAAAATTGAGATATAGCGTTGCACATCAGACTTGTGGAAAGTGTAGCTTGTTGCAAAATGTAAAATTGGTTTGGTATTTATTATTCTTACATTGCGAGAACAAAGTATAATAGAATGTACTGATTTTTGTTCAAACATGTTAATTTGATCAACGATATCTAAAGTGCAATTTGCTGGGCTGATTACAGGTGTCTTTACAGCCAGGGAAATTACCTTCCAGTTTGTGTACATGAAATTCAACAGCAACATTCATAACATCAGCTCGAAGAGGAAATCTTCGAAAAACAAACACATAAACTTAGCAGGCACATTTTTGTTTACAATCAAAACTGTATATAACTTATAGCAGGCATATTTTTAAATATTCGAATGTAATCTGGGACCGATCTCGTTGATCGATTCAGTAAAACCGCGAAAACTACAGCTTGAAATGCAGCAGAAAGCATTCTCTCTATTTTGAAAAAGGGTGGGAGAGTCTGCAGTCTAGAAGTAAAAGACAAAAATTATTAACACTCTACAACCAAATTCCAGACTACCTCATTAGATTATTTTCTCTCCCGAACAGACTATAACCTTGGACGTTCAAATAATATAGTTATTTGCAATTTCAGGCTAAATTCTACCAATTCATCTTTTATGCACTCAACAGTATCTTTGTGGACCAATGTCGAACTGGATACTCACTGTTGAATGTCTTGCACTGCTTTCAGAAAGTTAGGATTCGGCAAATGTGGATATGTGAAAAAGCTTGCCAGTAACTTCTCGTGGGTCGGTGGTTCTTTCAGGTGATTTCCCGGTTTCTTCCTTCACCATTAATAATGGCCGCCATGAATAGCCTATCGTGTGCTGAAAATTGCGTTAAGCCCAACAACAACAACTTCAGAAAGTTATTGTCAAAATATCGTATCTAGCGAAATGACATGTTTTATTAATCGAACCCTGGATAATATCTATACTAGATTACGACATAATCTAAGTTGATTAAAATCCAACCTTTACATTGTTCAACTTTATGACACCCCAGTTTGTTCCTTCGGTGGGGTCGAAACCATCATGCGTTCTGTCCCAAGTAGACGACAACTGAGCTGATTAGAAAATCTCTTTCAAGGTGGTCTTGTGCAGTTATCAGCTTTAATTTAATGCACTGGAGTAAAGGCGATGCAAATGAAAACTATAGAATTTTACACAATGTTTGCAAATATATAACCGCTACTAGACAATTTCAATAACTTATTCAAATCATCAGTATTATCAAGCGCCTGCCTACGTCCGTCTCTCTCTCTCTCTCTCTCTCTCTCTCTCTCTCTCTCTCTCTCTCTCTCTCTCTCTCTCTCTCTCTCTCTCTCTCTCTCTCTCTCTCTCTCTCTCTCTCTCTCCTTTTTTATTATGATGTCATGTTGAATAAGTTTCAGTATCTATATCATGTAGGGCTAATTTAAGTCGTTAGAACTTGTGCCCAAAGCACCCTATTGTGGCAACAAAATATCTTTAACAAAACATCAGGAACCTAATGTACCTGCGAAAACAAGGTCTAGAGAGTAGGACGGTTGCACATATCATTTGCTAAAAATTTTTTTTTAATTTAAATAAAAAACGCCACTGAAATTTTTTTATCTGCAAAAACAGAAATTTACAGCATGCTCCAATATTCATTATATCCAGACAGACCTTTATCCTGATAGTGACAGTCACGTCATGGCTTAAACCGGATTTAATACATTCTGGTGAAAGCAAGAAAATCTTATTAAAAATGTTGTTTATAATAGTCCTCATAAGATCTAATGCATCAGATCAGTTTAATACACTGTGCTCTCATTGTACATTGTGCTGGTTGTACATTGTGCTGGCGTTGTACATTGTGTTCTCATTGTACATTGTGCTGGCGTTGTACATTATGCTTTCATTGTTCATTGTGCTGGCGTTGTACATTGTGCTCTCATTGTACATTGTGCTCTCATTGTAATTTTGCTCGCTTACATATATTCTGTAATGTTACTCTGTGAATTAGAATAACTTTATTCAAAGTATAGTATCATATTCTTTGCACATCGAGTTAAGCTTGCTATTAGCTGAGGTCAGATATTCAAGGACGTTGGTATACTGATCTATTCAAACAACATTTTCTCAGTATCTCTGTAAAGTTCGAGTTCGATACGTATAAAAATAGTAATATTGTTGGGGTTTCTTTTGTTTGCTTGTATATCTTTTGTTGTGGCGATAACCACAGTCAACGGCTTCAAGGAACATGTCAAATGTTTTTTGCATTCCTAATAAAACCGCTCCAGTGGCCTAGTAGTTAAAGCGTCCGCTTCTGATGCGGAAGGTCGCGGGATTGAACCCGACCGAGTCATATTAAAGACATACAGATGGTACCAACAGCTGCATATCTAGAAGCTCAGCATTAAGAGGTTGCTGTTAGGACTGGTGAGCCTCGTGTCAGGATAATGTGACTGGGTGGGTCATCATGCTATATGTCTACGGCTTGATGCCCCAGTGCTAAACATCACTATAAACTGCCACACTGCAGACATCGTAGCAATATGACTGAAAGATTTTTTAAAGCTACGTTAAAATTAAATCTGAGTCACACATTCCTAATAAAGATGTAAGGAATAAAATGCAGTGAACAATATATAAGGGGCTAGTATGATTGGTTGGAACCGAATTGGTGCTTGTTCGAAAAACATCGGTATCATTCTCTCACTACGGTAAACAGCTCTAATTTGAAACAAATCATATACATAAGTAGCGTGAGTAGCAAATTAGCCTTCGTCTCGTCCGATAGCAGACGTTGAATCAATTACCAAGTAAGACAAAGTAGGATCTGACATCCGATGAAGGCCTGATATATAGATTCAGTGGAATCAGTCCTGAGGTAGAGATATTTTAGTATTTGTGAATTAAGGCATGTTCCCATTACAATAAATTTTCAATATCTATACAAGAACTTCGGCTGAAAACTAATCTTTCTGATTGATGATAATATTATTTGTTTATTTTATAAAGATATATCATTAATTTGATTGATATCACCGCAGATAACAATATTATCTTATAAAGTACATTTTGTCTTTCGCTTGTATGTATGTCATTTTCTTCGCCTGATTGTAAGTGAAACTACTTCAAGGTTTATAATAAACGTGAAGTCATTCATTCCCTGGAAAGTAAGATCCGCATAACGGTAAACCCACTTGTACAAAAAAAGTTATTCTTCAAATTACGTAGTATTGTGGTTTTTTTCGCCTTTACTTTCGAATCCGGTCTTTTGAGAACCGGCATTAGAATTTAAACTAAGGAGAACCACAAACATGTACACTCTAAATTCATTTAAAGACATTTTGGATTATACCATTGTTGACACAAGAACATTGTAAGCATTACAGCGTGTTTTACAATCTGCAATGACGGCTGGGCTGCACATCTTACTTATGCAGTTGCATAATTCTGCGTGCACTCTGTACGATATTTCTTCTGAATAAATGGCAGAAATTTGATTAATCGACCTTAGACCAAAGATACTAATTCAATCCACAACGTCTAAAATATACGCTGGAAACTTTTTTGTTTACCTTGGTAACAAGGTCGATTAATAGATTACCTTCTTCGTTGCGCAAATGAAACTAAACAGGAAACCAGGAAAGGTTCTTAAACAATGTAGGGGTAAAGATGGGGCTTTTTGCATATTATCTAATTCAAGGTAATCTTAACAAATAAATATCAAATGAGTTAATAAAAATGTTCAGCATGAATTATCTCTGATAGCTTAAAAAAAAAGGTTTTTATTTTCCTCAGTCCTTTTCATTTTGTCATATTTATTTTCGCTTTCTCATTTTGAAATTTGAATGACTTTGTAAGGCATATATTGGGTTGCGTGAAGTCACCTCTTACTGGTTCCTATGTTATTACTTCATTAAAAACGTTTATCATTTCTTTGAAAAGTAAAACTTTTGCGACATTATTTTTAAACAAGATTTGCTATGCGTTAATTAGACACAATGTTCAGTTATCAAAATTAGAATTCAACAAGTCGTAACAAAAATAGTATTTGTAATTTCATGATATTTTGTACAACAGTAACTGACTCACTTGTCTATCGTAGACTGACTATATTTCTCCGCATCTATTATGACTGTATTTAAGACTTGGATAGAATGAAGCATTTATGTTAAGCATGTTTAAGTTGCACTAATCTGTGATTGACCTTTGTACATAATAGATGCTAGGAGTTTGGGCCTCCATGACTTATGTCATGTTGGGTGAACATTTTTACTTGCTTTTGAGTTCTAGATACTGCTTGGTTCCGACCCTAGAAGATTCCCAAAATGAATTGTGTTGACAGTTTGAAGGAAACTTCCATTAAGATCGCACTCATCCTAGTCCTCTTAGTGTGAATTGGGTTTTATATTAGGGTTATTTATGTTAGAATTACTCATTTCTATCTTAGCATCCATAGTGGAATCAGTCTTTTGGTTGTGTTCAGTTTGCAGTTTTAGAGGATTTGTTTAAAGTATTCATTGGAATTACAAAGTTCTCATTAATAATTTGGAACTAAATCACTCTTTTGGGAGTATTGTTAATTCATTTGAAGAGATTTTGGATTATATCAAAGTTGATAAATAAAAATTGTTAGCACATCAACACTATTCCATGCTATCGGTACATCAGCACATTCAAGACTGGAATCCATTCGGAAAACTCTATTTTTCTTTTTAATTTAAAAGAATAAATTATTTATTGACTTTTCAATCCTTGTTGGGTTTCGCCCTTTTCTGTTACTTCATTTAAGACCATAATGGTGTAACACAGGATATTGATTTTTTTCATTTCATTTTTGCCATGTTGAACACACTTTCGAATAATGAATAATATATCTTTTGATTGAATAAATGTATTGTACTTCATTTTTGTGCTAAGATGACTCGTTTATCAAATAAATAGTGACTTTGTTGCAAATTTAAGAGAATAAATTGTACTAGTTACACCACCATCACTGAAGATATTAACTGTTTTGCTTACTACATGCAGCAAGATTACTCTTTGAGTCTTCTTGATTCCTTCACGTCTGACTGTGGCAGTCTAATGAAGATTACAAACCCTGATTTCAACATTTATTTAGAAGATCGCACAGTTAACAAAAAGCATTTGTTTGTTTTTCGTTTCCTGCTTAAGGGCACATACATATTCTTCCTTGTTTGACCTACCTGATAAACAACACCTGACAATAATGGCAGCAGAAAACACGTAAAGAACATGTGTACTATATATGTTTCTGATAACAGTTAAAAGCCGAATTGTAATTGACTAGAATGTTGAATGGACCGCTGTGCATATATAAAACCAGATATGGTATTCATTATCCAAAAAAAAGGCCATGGAAAAACCACGAGCAGGATCGCATTTCTTCCATTGAAGCGATCCCCGCATTATAGCGTCAATCTAGAAGGAGATGTAACTATTTTAGTTTTTTGGAAGCGACTATCCGTTGAACAACAGGGATATAGGATCGACTGTGGAATAATCTGAATTAGGTAAAACTCCATAATAATAAAGACTTCTTGACAGGTGCCTTAAATCCACCAAACCGCTGTATATCTGCAATGAATACACTTAAATATCCCCTAATAGTCCAATTCCTCCATTATCATAGTAGAATGTAACTTTAACTATCCGGTTATTCCTTGGAAATCATTGTCAGTAAATCCTTAGAGAGAAGATAAGGAAGTTCATAAAGCTGTTACTGAGGTTACATCCGCCGCCCACCAATCTCAATTATACACTACCAAACAAGCAGGGAAAAAATCTATTGAGTTAATTATGTCTGTTAATCCCACACTAATAGTGTCATTAATGAACATATCAGGGATGTGCGAACGTGACCTTCTGATACCATTCAGATAATAAGCCCTACTGTGTTATGCACAAAATTAAAAAAAATAGTATTTATAACATAAAGCTAATCCAAAGATCATGACTGTAGGTGATACTGTTTTATCGGAGAAACCATAAGCTTGTATGAATTATTGCCGTGTGTACACTTGTTATCATCCAACTTTCAAATTCACTCTCTCGGTAGCTGACAATTTCATCCTACCTAAGAACTGCGAGGCCAAACAATCTTTATTTGGTTAGACCAAAGGGCTCTTTTGCTAAGAAGAAACATCGGAAAAAGCACGACTATATCATTAGGTCATTTAATCACACAATAAGAACACATGGGTAATTTAAATGACATATAGGTTTTGTCAGTTACAATAGGGACATATAGGTATCCTACATGACATGTAGGTATTTTCAATGAGAATAGAGACCTATGGGTATCCTAAATGACACACACATACATATATATATATATATATATATATTTATATATATATATATATACATATATATATATATATATATATATATATATATATATATTTATATATATATATATATACATATATATACATATATATACATATATATACATATATATATATATATATATATATATATATATATATATATATATATATATATATATATATATATATATATATATATATATATATGGTGATAATATGGACATATTTCTATTATTAAATGACAAAAGGGACATAAAGGTATTTTAATGACAATAATGACTGAAGAATTTTCAACCACATATAATTTTTTCAAATGACAATATAAACATATAGGTATTTTAACTGACAATAAGAACGCAGGTACTTTCAGTGACAATACTGACGCATATTTTCAATGCCATTAATGGCATAGGTATTTTCAATGACTATAGGGACATATATATATATATATATATATATATATATATATATATATATATATATATATATATATATATATATATATATATATATATATATGTATATATATATGTATATATATATATATATATATATATATATATATATATATATATATATATATATATATATATATATATATATATATATATATATATATATATATATATATATATATATGACTGTGTTCGAAACTCGGTAGAGTACGAATTTAATTTCTCTAACCTGTATGATAGTATTGTTTGTATTAAACTATTGTTTCTGCCCACTATTATCAAGATTCTACTACAGAATCCAGGGATAGCACAGTCTGTTCTGTCTGGTATATATTTATAATTATTTGTAATACAAAAATCATATATACGTTGATTTCTTTAATAGGAATCTGGAACGACTGTATATATATATAAATATATAAATATATATATATATATATATATATATATATTTATATATATATATATATATATATATATATATATATATATGAGAATTATTTACTAGGTCGTCATGCGAGTGTCTGCTACGCACGAGCTTATATAACACCGATTCAGTGCCATGATTTTTTGGTGATGCGTGCTTAGTCGTGACGGTATATGGGCTTGTGCGTTCAGGCAAGGCGATGGGTGCCATTTACTCGCGGATCTGGGTTCGAAACTCGGTAGAGAACGAATTTAATTTCTCTAACCTGTATGATAGTATTGTTTGTATTAAACTATATATATATATATATATATATATATATATATATATATATATATATATATATATATATATATATATATATATATATATATATATATATATATATATGACCTTTCTGGTGGCATAGTGGTTAGAGCGGCCGTCATGAATACGGGAGGTCGTGGGTTCAATTCCCGGCTGAGTCATACCAAAAATTTATTTAAAAAACAGTACTAACGGCTGCCTTGTCTGGCCCTAAACATTAAAATGTTAGTATTATGACTGTTAGGCATGGTGTCAGGATAATGTGACTGGGTGGGACATCATGCTACATGTCTGCGTCATGATGCTAGATATCACTATAAACTACCACACTCCAGATATAGTAGCAATGTGACTGAAAGTTTGTTGAAGCTACGTTAAAAATCCATATCACATCACATCTCGTCACATATAAGCGGGACATATAGATATTAAATGATAGGAGTTACATATAGGTATTTGCTGTGACAATGAATGTGGTTGATCGTGTTAGTTCAGTAAATGTTTAAAAAAAGCAATCACAAAGAAGGTATAATATGAAATGCAGCATTTACTACTACTCGACTGTAGTGAGGACTATTATTGAGCTGATCAACCTTGAATAGCACTAAATATGTATATTATGTATCGAAGTCTTCTGATTCAGACTCAACAATGAACAGTTTCGAAACTTTTTACTCCAAAACATTTCCACAGAAAGCATCTATACAGAAAAAGGAGGAATTACCTCTCCGTTAAAAAAGTGTTTGATACGTGACAAAATCGCGTCAAGATCATATGAAAAGTTTACGATTATTCAATCGTTTAAGTCCAAAATGAGCCCGGTTTAGTCGTTTCGTGGTCCTTGATTTCTTTTCATTATCAGTTTCAATATCTGTTGTCAACTTATCCGTTTTTTTAATGTCATGTTTTAAATTGTTTCCGTTAATAAATTAATCAACTGACTCTAGTCTAAATTGCAAAATGGAAAATTGGTTAATATTTTCATTATGAGCACAACAAGTGAATAATTGACAGAGTAATTAATCTTTAAAAATAAATACATACCGTGGTATTTGTCTGTGTGAGATTTATATGCTGGAGTGCATTTCTTCATGTTTTGATTTTTTTAAAACATGATCAAAATATTATCTAGTTTTCATTAAATAGCATAAATGAATGCAAGTTGTCAAACTGTTCTATGACTGGTTCTATCTGGAATAAAATCACATTTTAATATAAGCAAGGCCTACAATATAACTTTATTCTGGTGTTCAATTCTTGTTTGGAAAAAAATTGTAATTGAAGCGAAAAGCTTTATTTAGAACCCAATCAAATTAGTGGGTAATACGTAGTTCATTGCCACTTTTGTCTCAGTTGATTGGAAACAGGCTTGGAATCAATACAAACTAAGAGAGAATATAATCTGATATCTGGTGAGGACATAATGCCAGAGTTATTAGTGCTTACATCAGCGACAGACACGTATACGTGTTTGAGAATAAACATAGCTTGTAATAAAGTCAAATTTGTTTTATTAATCTGTCACATTTGAAAGATAGCGGTGCAACATTTAATACTGGCAGTCAGTCATGTTGTAATCTTTCCTGCCAACAGAGACCATTTGCTTTCATTTTTTATTCCAATCTCCGTTGATTATCAGAAGAGTTTCTCAAGATGTAAATTCTATCAATTTGTATATCTGTCTTTCCCGCCAGGCAACTAAATTTTCTTCTTATTTATCACTTCATCTGAAACATTTATGCATACACACGTGTCTTTGGTATCTCAGTTACTCAAATGGACTGTTTATATGGTGTGCATACTGTTACGAGCCAGTTGTATTTGCTTGACCAAGCGTTATCAAACCCTGGCGCGATTTCGCTTGAAGTCATATGTTTTCCCCAAATTTCCAATGACTTCCATACAACTTCTGTTGTAAATTGGAACCCCAGCGCGTCCATTCTAGTCATAAATTGTACTCTAATCAATGCAAGACCACATATCTCACAACTTTCCAATTGTCTGTCAACCGCACATCTGCATGGTTTCTCTTTATCAACATACCGTAAGCATTTCAAGCTGTAAAACTATACAACTTCCCTTACACATGGAACTATTTTTACTACGCCACCTTAGGTCAATCGAATCATGGTTTTAAGCCACATTTCGCTTGTAAAACTGCATCACATTTGCCACCATGGGTCCGACATAAACGGTATCTGCAGAGTCCCTTCTTGTTTATTTCATTGTGTAATTTACCGGTCTCCTCCTGTCAATACTGCACAAGGAGTCACACAACCAGTGTACATCACCAGAGTTTAATAGAGACTATGGTACACAATGACACTCATGCGGCTTTGACATGAATTCAACACAAGTAAACCATGGAATCATGGAAACTCACGAATACTTCACTTTGTGACGCTTGTTCCAAGTAATTGGCTAATTATTTAGGGCAAAGGAATATTTTCAATAGTTTCAATAATCAAACAAGTAATTAAAAAAATCTAAGAGTTCCTTAAAACGGGGCGCTATAACAAAATGTTCATACTCCAAATTTATTATATTAACCCCACCTTCAAAAGATCACGCACCCATGAGTGACACAAACGTCAATTTAATGTGGTCTAATCAAAATGGATTACTTTCACTAAAATCAATTGATCCTATCTTCTTGCAACTAACTCACTACTAACCGACCAATGCTACAGCAACCGAACACCGCCATAAGAAAACCCACCCCCAAAAGCAAAAGTTTGGAACACTATAAATTCCATCCAAGTAAAAAGTTCAAATTATGAATGATGGAAACCATCTTGGAGCATATCGGTTGTCAAGATGGTAGCAAACAGTGGTCAGAATACACTGTATGATGCAATTTCAAACTGATAGGCGCTAGCAGGTCAAGGACAATGTCAGACAGGAACATTCATGTTTACAACGAGGTTAGAAAAAAGCTTTCTTCAGAGAATAACACGTTTCTTACGAATTTTAAGAAATAAGTCAATCATGACTTCAATACCCAAACTGGCGCGTCAGAGATACCAATGCTAGACTCGACACAACCGTCCTTCAGCTATTCACCACCATTATTAACCCTACCGTGATAGAAAAAATAGTCCACTAGCATCCAAACAATCAAAACATAAAACCACTACCTTCCCTTATCAATTTAGGTCTGCTTCACTCACAGCACAGCTTTTGTATCTCAACCTGTTTGACGCTTTGTCGTATACCCAGACAAAATTAATAATCACGGAGAAACAATTATTACCCACACATGTCAATTTGTTTTTCTCACCGGTTAGTGCTATAGGCACATGAAACGACTGAAATCATCTTGAAATAATGTCCAAAACATAATACAACACAGTTGCGTTCCTTCGCCGCGATTCTTCGTTACATTAAATTGGTACTTTGAGCCGTAATTGTATATGGCGACACTTCTTATTCCTTCTCGGTTTTATCACCCTGCCGTGTATTTCTTCCTGGCTATCAGTGTGTTCATGTACACTCTCATGTCGCACCAAGCATGGTTTTAGTCAGTTGAAGTGAACAATCTGAGTCGCTTTAAGATTGCTCCTTGCAATCAGGTATGTAGCATCAGCTACATTCTTAACAATCCGATATGGTCAAGTTCATCTAACTTGTAGTCTACGTGATTTCCATTTCTTTCTTAGCGTATAACGCAACCACACAAAAGGTTACCATCACTGAAAGACTGACCAGGAAACTTGAGATCAATAAGCGACTTTCTGATTCCAGATAGATGTGCCTATTTTTTATGCTTCCTTGTTGGCCTAGACCGTTGCCTGTCTATAATCCGACGCAAATCGAGGCAGATTCTTTGGGGCATCGTCTGGTGTTATGCTATGTTAGAAGATCCGTAGGGACAATCACTGCTAGACCCAGCATCAGCTTGTTCGAATACTGAGGAAGTTTTCTTAGATGCACGACAGGCCATGCTCGTAAGAGAAAGGTACTGGTCTCAGTTTTCTGGTTTATTATCCACGTATGCTGCTATCTGGCATTAATTTCGGTTATACCGTTCCACCATCCCATTATATTGTGCATGATAGGGAGACGTTCCGTCTAATCGCTAATATTAAACAAAGTTCTTTGAATACGGAACTTTCAAACTGTCGGCCAAATCTACACATACAATTAACCAGCAACGCTTCAATATTAGGCAGAGACACCGCCTCAATCCACTTAGTGAAATGATCTCCGATTACAAGGAAGTATGCATTTCCTTCCTCGTTCTTTGTAAGATGTCACAAACTATTAAGGGCTGTCAACTCTCGAGTGACACAATACTGACGTTCTCTCCTGTCCAGGCAACGACTAGCGTAAGCTAATACTCTTTCCTTCACATTTATGTTCTGGTGTGCCATTCACATCTGTGTCAGGTAAAAAGGGACGATTGAAATCCGGTACAGTCAACACTGTTGCAGAGGCAAGCGCTTCTCGTATTTGTTCGAATGCCGCTTCATGTTCTTCTGTCCAGCGAAAAACAGAGTTTTTTGTCGTTAGCTGGTGTAAAGGAGCTGCAATTTCAGCAAAGTGTTCTACGTACCGCCGATTATAACTACAGAACTTAAGGAACCTCTGCACTGCGGTAACTTTTTCTGGAGTGGGCCATTTCGTAACTACAGCTTTCTTTCTCAGGATCTTTGGCAACTCCTGTCGCTGAAATAGTAGGACAAGATACCGAACCTCTTGCATACAGAGTGTACATTTTCTGGTTTTCTGCTTTAGACCGGCCCCTAGGAGACAGGTAAAGACCCGTGTTTGTCTTTCAAGCAACTGCTCGAACGTGCTTCAGAACACTACCACGTCGTCAAGATAAATCAAACAAACTTCATATTGCAACCCAGCTAGAATGGCTTTCATTAGTCGCAAAGGTTCCGGGTGCGTTGCATGAACCGAACGACATAACTTAAAATTTATAGATACCCCTTCTCGTTGTAAATGCTGTCTTATGCCGATCAGCCTGCTCAATCTCTACTTGCCAGTACCACGATATCAAATCAAAGAATTCCTTAAAACGGGACGCTATAACAAAATGTGCATACACCAAAATTATTACATTATGAGCTATTAATCAACGTAATATAAAATGTTTGAGAAATTGTATTTTGTCGAGCCAACCTGAGTTTCGAGAAATACTCCATGATCATTT